GAGAGAGAGAGAGAGAGAGAGAGAGAGAGAGAGAGAGAGAGAGAGAGAGAGAGAGAGAATGACGATGGCGGGACACTTTTTTCCGGGATCAACTTCAGGACGACGAAGTATACGATGACCATGACGAGGCATGAGGACGTATTGGAATGTACATGGAGCACTTCCTCTATTTGGTCTACACGTCCTCCCTCCCCTCCCCTCCCCTCCCCTCTTTTTGCGGTCAGATACATCCTGGGAAGTCGTACCCGTACTATGATACTGCTCTAGATACATCAAGGAAAACCATATGATTATGCTCCATGGCGCCCTTGTTTTTCTCTCTCTCTCTCTCTCTCTTTCTCTCTCTCTTTTTTTTTTTTTTTTTTTTTTTTTGTAATAAAACAGGTCCTTATGGCCCTGGCTCCATATCCATTCTGTGGAGCATCATTCTGTTCCTATTCCACCAGCAAGTCAGAAATCCATCTTTTTTTTTGTTTTTGTTTTTGTTTTAAGACCTCGGACAATATACATCAAGGACACCCTTACGCTTCCTTCCGTTTGGCCGAAGGACCCCTGATCAGCATTGATTGCTCCAGATGTCTGGAGGATTGACTTTCATCTTATCTTGCCTTCCCCCTATCTTTCCTCCCAAGTTTGTTTATCCAGTCCGACCAGATTTGCCGTGCAACCAAACAAGGATTAAGGGTCAGATCCCACTAGTCCCTAATGTTCATTTCTGACCGTTGATCTTCGAAATCAAGGGTGAAAAATGAATAATCCAGGGTAGTGGGATCTGACCCTAAACCACTAATATTTCCTAAAGTCGTGCCCGTTAACAAACCTCGATTTTAGGAAACGTACGGGCCACTACAGGAGCGCCCAGATTCATCCCAGTAGAAACGTTTCTACTCTTTTTCTTTCTTTTTTCTTTTTTTTTTAACCGGGCCGGGTGCCCAAGGCTGATATTACCAATAATAAGATTGAGGCCGGGGTTCTCACAGTTTCTACTCTATTTTTTTTCCAGGGCCGATAGCTGGGCCTAGTACTGCTGACAAGTACTTCCTAAAGGTGTGCCCGTTAACAAACCTCGATTTTAGGAAACGTACGGGCCACTACAGGAGCGCCCAGATTCATCCCAGTAGAAACGTTTCTACTCTTTTTNGTGCCCGTTAACAAACCTCGATTTTAGGAAACGTACGGGCCACTACAGGAGCGCCCAGATTCATCCCAGTAGAAACGTTTCTACTCTTTTTTTTTTTTCTTTTTTTTTTTTAACCGGGCCCGTGCCCAAGGCTGATATTACCAATAATAAGATTGAGGCCGGGGTCCTCACAGTTTCTACTCTATTTTTTTCCACGGCCGATAGCTGGGCCTAGTACTGTTGACCAGTACTTCCTAAAGGTGTGCCCGTTAACAAGCCACGGTTATAGGAAACGTACGGGCCACTACAGGTGCGCCCAAATTCATCCGAGTAGAAACGTTTCTACTCTATTCTTTCCCAGGGCCCATAACTGGACCAAGTACTGGTGGTTTGAGAAATTAATAGGTATGGAAGCCACAATCCCTGAACTTGTCTGGGAAGTCCCTTTGGACTCTGATCTGGTAGGTTGTTAACTGTTTCTTTGCCAGACCCCTCCTCTCTGACATGCCGTCAGGTCTATGTGACCTGTAGTGGGTCCTGCCATTCTGTTGATTGGGACCTCTGTCTTAAGCCTCGTGGCTGAATTGTGCCAGTCCTTCCAGCGTATACTGGAGCCCCTTTTATGTCCGCTACCTTGCCTTCCACCAGCCATACCCTTGGGTCCTGCGATTCTGTTTGATCGGGAGGGGCTGTGTTGGGTCCTGCCATTCTGCTGATTGGGAGATGCGTCTTCCAAGCCTCTGCTTCTGAATTGTGCCAATCTTTCCAGCGAAGTATTTATAGTTTTCACTTTTGCCATATTGAAAAATTCGTATAATATCCAATATTTTTATTTATAAATCAGACATTTATTTGCCAGGAGAAATCGGACAGGGAAGTAGAAAGTTCCCTGTCTGGCATTTCTTTGGGAACTATTCGTTCTGGCTGAGAAAGAATTTGATCTGCTATATTTAGATAATAGTCACATACATATTCAAGGGAAGAGTCTGTTTCTGCCATTTCAAACAAAGTTTTACCTTTGCGTCCCACCGCCGATTTTCTGCTGCAGGTCCAGATCGTCCAGATCGTTAGGCATAGACTGCTTATTAGCGTTTTCTGCTACTTGCATACAATTTCGGCCTGCATCAACGACGACCTCGTAGCGACGCAAACGCTTTCTCTTGGAGAGGAGAGGCCTTCAAGAGTTCCGTACGATAATGCTCATAGACAAAGGCACCTTTCGTTCTCCGTATGATAATGCTCATAGACAAAGGCACCTTTCGTTCTCTGTACGATAATGCTCATAGACAAAGACAGGGTCTTTTTCTTTTTTTCTTTTTTTCTTTATTTTTTATTGGGTCTTTCTCTCTTCTTTCTCTCGACTAAGAATTCATACTGTAGCTAAAGTCGTCTACTGAGCACAAACCTTAAAGCACCAGTACTTCCTCGAGTCCTGCCGGTTAACGCGCCTCGATTTTAGGAAACGTACGGACCACTACAGGAGCGCCTGAATTCATCCAACTAGAAGCGTTTCTACTCTTTTTTTTTTTTTTTTCCTGCGGCCGATCGTTGGGCCAAGTACTGGTGGTAACTTGCAATTTGCATGTGTGTATACTGTATACTATATAGATATGCAATGACCCGCACAGTCGGAGTTTGAGATTTCTACCTTGTTCTGAGAAAATGCTGTCTGTTGATGGCCTTTTTTTTTTTCTTGAAGCCCCATGTCGGCGTGCTAGAGGGGGTGATATAAGCATCACCCTCTAGCATGGCCTGCTACCGGTAGCTGCGATCTATTGGTGAGGAGCAGCACCTGCTGGAAACCGGGTCCAGCGTCCCATAAGCAACCATGTGTCTCGGTATGCTGTGTGTCGGCCTGATTCGCTGTGATTTCAGAGTCTGAGTCAGTTTTGCTGTGTTGTGTGTGTGTTTCTATTTTGTTTGGGCCATTGAACTGAGAGGTCTTAGGTAATTCATAATTATTTTATTCTGTTCACGTGAATGCATCTGGATTCAAACTTCGATCTGTATTTCAACAGTTTATTGAGTGCAACAGCTGTGTCTCTCTGAGGCTCGCCACACAGGCTGTCGAAACTCTTTGAGTTGCAACAGCTGTCAGAAAAAAATTGAAAGTCGGAGGTCGACAGTTTACCCCCCCCCTTCGCCACAGGCTGTCGAGGGGCAAGGTTTTTGGTCATGGCCAAATGGACTCCGCCTTTTGACAGGGCACGCGTGTCACGGAACAGTCCCTGACAAAATGCAAATTCGAACGCAATTCTCGAAAGGCAGGTGGGGCACTTTCGAATTTCCGTCTCCTGCAGGCAGGCGGGAGGAAACAAATGGGGGAGGGTGGGGTGGTTG